GCTTTTCTTGTAGTGACAACTCAAGTTCGCTTTATTTTATTTTCATTATTATTATTACAGTTCCCATCAAAAAAAAGAAAATTTACCTGTATTGATAATGACCAGTGTGGTAGGTAGTTTTCTTTTGTAATTTTTATGACTAGGTTTTTCAGTTCACTTTTTTATAACGGAAATGACATAAATGTCTAAATAAATGAAACACAACAACAAAGATTAATATAAGTGGATAATACCTTGTTCTGTTTGAATTTGATAGTTATAGAGAATTGAATGCGTGCTTCTCCTGGAATGTATAATTTACAAACAATGGATAAAATTGTTAATCAGCACATGTTTAGAAGCTAGCGAGACCTTGTGTGGTAAATATGTGATCTTGGAAAAACTCCAAGATGTCACTGACAAGTCTGCTCTTAAGAGATTGAAAAAAAGATGTCATCCAGTCAACGTAATCACTATGTTTCAGTTATTTGTGCATGTGGCCTGGTGGTTAGGGCATTCATCTTGCAATCCGAGGGTCAAGGGTTCAAATCCCATCCCCGGACGTGCTTGCCCTTTCAATTGGGGAGAAGTTATAATGTGGCACTCAATCCCATTATTTGTCAATAAAGATTAGTCCAAGAGTTGGCAGTGGGTGGTATTGACTAGGTGCCTTCCCTCTAGTCTATCACTTAAACTAGGGACAGCTAGAGCAGATAGCTTCCGAGTGGCTCTGTATTAAGTTAAAAAACAAACATATTTGTGCACTTATTTGTAGTTTTAATATTAAGTATGGCTTTGTATATAGTAGATCTTTCAATCACAATGGTGATTGTAGGCTTCTAAAGTATCTTATTCTTAGATGAAATATTTAAAAAGAACATTTGACATAATCAGAATACCCATATGACTTGTAAAGAGTCAGTCTATTCAGTTTTTCACTCAAAATTATTTATTTTTAATGCTTAATGCCAGGAAAATTTTCTTTCTAACACAAATGACTGAAAACTCTGAAGGAGAAAATCAGATTTCTTAACTTAAAATACTTACAGGGTAAATTAAAAAAACAAAAAGTACCAGGTTGTCGTAGTTAATGTTTCACAATCTTGTGTGTGTGTGTATAAATTTAAATAAAAAAAACAAAAAGTACCAGGCTGTCATAGTTAATGTTTCACAATCTTGTGTGTGTATAAAAGTCTTAATATTTTCTATTTTAAGTAAGAAATCCTACTTCATTCTGGGGAAGAAAAGTGTTGCTCAGCTGAATACTTTATTTCAAACTTGTAGCAAATTCTGTAGGTCTTTTTCACAGTTATCTTGAAACTTTTACCTAGTATTCTTTACTAATTACATTTGAAGTTTGTGACCAAGGTTTTTAAAAGTTAATTAGTTTATTTTATTTTCTTTAACAAGTAATTGAGACAACCATTCTAGTTTTGATTTTGTTCTAAATGTAGCTTGTAATTGAAAATGTATATGTCCTGTTTAAACTTTCTACAGGGACAAAGGTATTAGTTCTACCTAGTGGTTCTGCATCTTCTAATAAAACCATTTCTGCAATGATCGATTTGGTTAAACCACGTGTCAGAGACTTGGTAGAAGATGCAAATAAGGTATGATAATTTTTTTATTATTTATGAATATTGTCAATGATGTGGTTTTATTTTATACATCTTTCTACTCACCTGTACTTATGAAATGGACTTTACAATAAAATTTAACAATGCTCTTAAATAACAACATGTAAGACAATGTCAATACAGTGGAAAGGGGCACATTGAAATGTGCTAAAAGTATTGGTAAACAAGTTAGTCACTAATCGTAATAACAAATGTAAATAATTAAATGAAATAAATCTTGCATATAATAATAATAATAGTTTTACAGGAACCAGGTGTTGTATGTTTAATAAAAATAGCATTTGGATTGAATAAGAATCCTTAAATTTTCTATCATGAAAGTTATCATAATTCTATAAAACTTTGATATAATATTATGCCATATGTTTTGCAGTAACTTCTTTGTTTGAGATTAGCAGTAGCACACTTGTATCCTTTGAATTTTCGTAGCACTTTTATTTCAAATTACAATTATTTTTAGTAACTTTAGTTATTTTACCACAATATTTATGGCCATCATTTTGTATTGAGTTCATAGTAACTTGTCATTTATTTATCTTCATATGTCTGAAAAACCTGGTGTTCAAAGTAATAATAATAGAAAAACAACAACAACAAATTTTTAATCTTTGAAGATACTTATTTTGGTATTTTTACTTTTCCAAACTCTAAAATTGAGTAGTTTATTGTCCTTATTTTGTACAAGATAGTCTTAACACTCAAACCAGTATAGTACAAGTTAGTCTTAACACTCAAACCAGTATAGTACAAGATAGTCTTAACACTCAAACCAGTATAGTACAAGTTAGTCCTAACAATCAAACCAGTATAGTACAAGTTAGTCCTAACAATCAAACCAGTATAGTACAAGTTAGTCCTAACAATCAAACCAGTATAGTACAAGTTAGTCCTAACAATCAAACCAGTATAGTACAAGATAGTCTTAACACTCAAACTAGTATAGTACAAGATAGTCTTAACACTCAAACTAGTATAGTACAAGATAGTCTTAACACTCAAACTAGTATAGTACAAGATAGTCTTAACACTCAAACCAGTATAGTACAAGACAGTCTTAACACTCAAACCAGTATAGTACAAGATAGTCTTAACACTCAAACCAGTGTAATACAAGTTAGTCTTAACACTCAAACCAGTGTAATACAAGATAGTCTTAACACTCAAACCAGTGTAGTAAAAGATAGTCTTAACACTCAAACCAGTGTAGTAAAAGATAGTCTTAACAATCAAACCAGTGTTGAACTAAGTCTTACTTAACAACTATTTATATAGTCTTAACACTCAAACCAGTGTAGTACAATATAGTCTTAACACTCAAACCAGTATAGTACAAGATAGTCTTAACACTCAAACCAGTATAGTACAAGTTAGTCTTAGCACTCAAACCAGTGTGATACAAGTCTTAACACTCAAACCAGTGTAGTTGTATCACACTGGTTTGAGTGTTAAGACTATCTTGTATTATAGAATTTAAGCAAATGTTCTTGTATATAATTTTCAGCTGAAAATGTGGATCCAGTTCATGATTCCTCGTATTGAGGATGGAAATAACTTTGGTGTTTCTGTTCAGGTATTTGTCATACATTTATTGGATACACATGTAAATCTTTTGAAATTGTTATTATTTTCTTCATTGTTGTTAGATCAGTATCATAAACCTGGGTGTCAACACCTTTGACTTTTTAACATTTTCCCCAAATATATCAATGAAACGTATCTGAATTGGGGGGCCCCAGCTAATTAGTTTTTGAGCAACAAGTTTTGAATCTGAACACTATGAATTGTACAAAAAAAAATATTATTATTATTTAATTGTTTTTTAAATGTTTTCAAAAATTTTTTAAAGTACTATCTATAAGAAAGCATTATGTTAACTTACTTAATAAATTGCAGAAAACATTTAAAACCAATGTTTACTTTTACGAACAAATGTTTTAAATATGTGTTGCTAAACTGCTCTTAGCCTCTTGAAAAGTGCAGACTTGTATAGTTCAGTAGTCTTCAATTATGTGACAGTTGTTTTCTTATTACCTCTTGGGTTGGGTAGCCTGGAAATACCTTTTAAAATTTCATGTTTTCATTCTTGTTGCTTTTACTATTTTCAAGCACAATAATTTTGAAATGCACCATTTCATTAGTAGAAAACAAATACTATGTTATAGCATACATGCCATACTGTGGATTTTATAGTAATTGTTCAGTATGAAAGCTTTATTGATTTTGTTTTATATCGGTGAAAAACACATTTATTTCTCTCTTGTATTTTTAATATTCCTTAATTTTCTTTTGAAATGATGTCGCAGTAAACAGAAGCATTACATTTAGTCAGCTATACTGTATATTAGTTACTGAACTATAACTAAAAGTTTTATAGAATTAGCTGTTGGTAAGGAACTATTTTTAAAAAGAATATGGTTATTTTGATATTTTTGAGTTTTAATTAAATTTATCTTTGTATTTTTTAAAGGAGATGTGGGAAGTTACTTTAACAAAAAAAAATTAAGTATCCTTCTCGCCATGAGTAGGTACGACTTTTTAGAGAGTTACATTCAAAATATGATTAAACTTCTGTATTATCATTGTATACAAATAAATTGGGTATAGAACTGTAGTTAATAAACCAAATTTTAATATTATATAACTTTTAAGTTCTTAATTTTATAAGGAAATATTTTTGAAAATTCTCAATCTTCCCCTATTATGAGAATTGCGACATTTATTCTCTAGGTCTTCCCTCTTCTCTAAATTATTTACCACCTTTCCGAGAAGTACAGAATTTAACATAATTTACTCATTTTAATATAGATATTACTAAGACAAAGAATAATATTTGTAGCCTTCAATTTTATTTGTTTTTGGAGCAATAAACTAGAAAATCAGACCTACTTGCCACACCCACCTGTTACATCCTTTTGTTTCACAAATTGCCAATAGTTCTCTTTGATGTTTTATACAGTATTGTTTATAACCAATAGAAAGCGAAGGTTTTAATCTATCAAATGGTGTATTATATTATGTTGTTTTATGTACAGAGAAATGTCCGTTTTGTCTTCAGTTTGAAAGTTTCTCTTGTGGTATTAAGATTGACAAACTTAGCTAAATTTATAAAGGATTTTATGCCATAGTTAGAAAACCAGATAAATTACGATAGTTGTTGGACAGTGTTTGTTTTTATTATTCTGTATTTTTAAGTGAATTATTTAAGTAAATACAAAATTTAATATACTAGTACCATTAGCATTTAAAAAAAAAAAGTAGGCTTAAATTTCATTGGCAGTTGACAGCAAAATAAACAAGAGGTCACAGCTAAGTGACATGTTTCTTATTTTTCATGTATATTCCTTATTTATTATTATAAAAATAACTAACATGTTAAAATTAGAACATTATTAAGTTAGATAAGGTAATGAAAAATAATAACTTTCTTACGAAGTATGCTCATGAGCAGCTCATGTGTTATGTCATTCAATACAGCAAAGTGAGCACACGTTTGCTGACAGACTTACAACTTGTGTGGCAGGATTATTTGTCAGTCAAAGGGCAATAAAACTAAAATTAAGTATAAATAGATGTATACTGTTATGAGCTTTAAACTATTTAGGATTAACAATTTCAGCTTCATGTTACAATTGCAGTCACTCTAGAAAGAAAAAAGGGTAATTTACACTTATTTCATATTTTTTATAGTGGTTACAAGGTTGGTCGAATTGATCAAATGCATGTAGTATTAAGATAGAGAAAATAACAGATAAAATATAAAATTTTACTGAAAGAAAATGTTTAATATTTATTGCGGATGTTTTGGATTTTAATCTTAACGTGAAAATCACTTTGCACTCAAAGCAGTCAACACTCTGACTTCATATATTCAAAGACAAATTGTTAGTAAAAATACTTACTTATAAAATCATATTTTTAGTAAACAAGAAACTTGTAATGTTTACTGAAAGTTTTCAAAATTTTGAGAAGATAAACAAAACATTAAAAATTATCATACAGAACCTCTGGTTACTCTAAAGTTACAAGGCTGGTCTCGTTGATCGAGCCCACAGTGAGAGGGTTAAGTTAATAGAGCCCGGCATGGCCAGGTGGTTAAGGCGCTCGACTCGCAATCTGAGGGTCGCGGGTTCGAATCCCCGTCACACCAAACATGCTTGCCATGGGGGCGTTATAATGTGACGGTCAATCCCACTATTCGTTGGTAAAAGAGTAGCCCAAGAGTTGGC